ACCAGGGGGCGGGGCGTGGAAGAGGACCCCGGGACGGGACCCTGGCAGGGCGGGCGCTCTGTGCCACTGGTCGCACGTGCGTGGGGAGCTTGATCTGGGGCTACAGGGCGTCTCTTTGTATTGCAGGATCGATGCGTATGGGTTTGAAAGGCCTGAGGATTTTGATTATGCGGCTTATGAAGAATTCTTTTCCACCTATCTGGTGATACTCACTAGAAGAGCAATAAAATGGTCTAAACTTCTAAAGGGAAGCGGTAGTGTCCAGAAAAGCATGAGAGGTGAGTTTGGAACTTGGTCCACCACGCACTCAACCACCAGGTCACTGGCTGACAAATGCTCGGGGGAAGAGGGGTTCAGGATTCCTCAGGCACCCCTAATCCAGGGAGGCTGCCTTGAGTCTGGCATCTTTCCTAGGGATCCGAGGATTGGGAAATGGCAGGCAGGTGTGTGTCCTACGTAGGCTCTAAGTTGAGGCTCCAAGCTTTGAATTCAGCTAGAACTTGCACTTTTAAGGTACAGGGGTATTCTTTCTTTCCGTTGAGATGGGCCTGCTTGCTTTCCAGAAGAAAGTTGGTTTCCTGCTTCTCAAAATGAGATTGGCCAGGGCTCTCCACTTGTCCATGCCTGTGACCAAGCCCTCCCTGCATCCCTTACTGGACCCCTCCTCACCTGTTCTGCCCCAGCCCCTTCCCTTCTCTCTCTAGGCCTGGGGCCCCCTCCCTCAGGCCTCCCTCAGGCCTCCTCTCCATTCCTCCAGTACCTGCCTCTCCTTGGGGTTCGTCCCCAGCCCCTCCCATCTTTTTCAGGGGCTGACTGGAATGCCACTTCCATGAGGCCTTCCGGAGCTCCTGTCTGGAACGGCACTCCCCCATCACACCACACAGCCGCACACTCTTCACCCCTTTCCTGCTTATATTCTCCTCGCCGACTCATGCAGTGCAGAGCTGATTTATTTTATCATTTGTTTCCCCTGCTGGACTCCCGGATCCCTCTCTGCTGGCAGGGATTAGTCAGGGTAATTGCTTCAGTGTTTGAATGAATGAATGAATGAAGTGTTTCAGCGGTTCTCAACCTGTGGGTCGCGACCCCTGAAAATACATCCTGCATATCAGATATTTACATTACGATTCATAACAGTAGCAAAATTACAGTTATGAAGTAGCAACGAAAATAATATTATGGTTGGGGGTCACCACAACATGAGGAACTGTATTAAAGGGCCGCGGCATTAGGAAGGTTGAGAACCACTGGTTTAGGTGGTAACTGCTGGGCAGGTGGAAGGGCGTTGGTAGGAGTGTGCCCCTTGGTAGGAGTTAAGAGAAGTCAGATAAATGGTGCAGAGAGGTGTGTAGGGGTTTCCTGAAATAGGACATGGATGACAATTAAGGCTGAGCACGGGGTCAGAGGCAAGGGACAGAACTGTGTGACTAGAGTATTAGGGGTGTGTGTAGAAAGGGCCAGAGATGGAGCCAGGGGACCCTGCACGGGGCCCCATGTAGCCACACATCACCTGGACCTGGCAGACAGAAGCCAACTGTAAAAGGAATTACGAGCAAGGGGATGGAGAGATCAATTTCTGCTTTTAAAGCAGTTAGTGCATAGGGCCCAAAGTGGTCCCAGCGCACAGTAGGCGCCTGGAAAGTATTTGTGGAGTTGACAGAGGGCTGGGTGTAAGCAGGTGGGTCTGGGAACTTGCTGCCCGGTAGGGCAGGGGTCAGGGGCTATCCCTAGACACTGGACAGCCCTCCCTCCTCCAGGCTATTACCGATGGGGGTGCTTAGTAAAAACTCAGCTAGCCCAGCCAGAATGGCTCATTATTTTTTTTTAGCATCATCCTGCGCTCTAAAAGGTTGCTGGTTTGATTTCTAGTCATACCTGAGTTTCGGGTTCCATCTCTGGCTGGGGCACATATGGAAGGCAACCGTTTTCTGTTTCTCTCTCACATCCATGGCTCTCTCACTCTCTCCCTCCCTCCTCTCTCTAAGCATGTCCTCAGGTGAGGATTAAAAAAAAAAAAAAAATCAGGGAAACTATCATTTCATAAAACCAGCTGGAAGGTACCTTAAAGTTGGTCCTTTGTTGCTTTACAGAAAGCTAATAATATCCAATGTACCATGTACCATCCTACATGAAACATATGTCCATCCCTGCATGGGCCTTGTGTGTTAATGTGTTTCAACCAGCACATCTGCACATCAACCGAGGATATTTTTCCCATTGATTTTACAGAGAATGGAAGGGAGGATGAGGAGAGCGAGAGCGAGAGCGAGCGAGAGAGAGGGAGAGAGAGAGGTGAGAGGCACATCCATTGGTTGCCTCTCAAATGCGCCCTGACTAGGGAACAAACCTGCAACCTTCGTACATGCCCTTGACCCTTGACTGGGAATCAAACCCGCAACCCTTAGGTGAGCCACACTGGCCAGGGCTGCCTTTAATTTTTCCTTTCGATTTATTTTTAAAAGTTGACTAGTCTTTTTGTTTTAAAAAGTTACATACAAGTATTCAAAAGTAAACATAATTTACCTGCATGGTAAAATGTCTTCACCATACTAAAAGATGTAAAGTGATACTAAGTTTCTCTCCTGCCCCAGGCTCCATTCTCCTATAAAGGTGACCGATCATGGTGACTGTCCTTTCGTCTCCCCCAGGAAGGGGGTGCACACACATGCGCGTGTGCATGCACACATGTGTATAAATGCAGCAGCCACGCCATGGGGCTGCAGTTTGCTTTTAGTGCAGAAGAAGGCCTCCTGTCCAACATGGCTGACTCTGGACTGCTAACCCAGAGGTCAGTTAACGCAGAGAATCACAGCAAGTTGATGTTTGTCATTCAATTCTGTCCTATCATCTCCTTCCCTTTGAATAGGGTGGGTCCACTAATTTAAATTTTGTATCACACTCTCGATTCATTGTCTCCATTTTCCAGTATTGGGGTTTTTTTGTTTGTTTTTGTTTTGTTTTTTGGGGGTTTTTTTTTGGTGTGTTTTTCACGTAGAGCAGGAATAAAAGCAATCTGAATACAGACTCCTCCCAGATGTTTAGTCTTTTCCCCATCCTGCAGTTGTCTTAAACCTGATTCTAAAATTCTGTTTTGCTTTTGCGTTGGGTAGCTGTCTCTTGCAACTCTCTAAAAATTTAGCTTGGTTTTTACTGAAATAATTTTTTCTTGCTTGCTTTAATACTTCTAAGATTTATGTAATGTCAGTTAAACTGTGTGATTATGGTGACAAGTATCTTTACAGAAAGCTAACAGGTTTAAGAATAAATATGTTTGATTCCTGATGAGCCTTCAGCCTAGGCCCTAGGGGATGGGATTCAGTGTCAAGGTGAACTGGAGAGCCTCATGGCCTGATGTCGTTTCAGGAAATGACACAGATTAATTCAGGGAGAGCGTGTGGTGTGACCTCACACGGGCCTGTGATCCAGGGTGTTGCCACTGGAGCTTGGTGTAGTTTCCGGGTGTGACAAGGAAGCAGTTAGAGCATGGGCTGTCAGGGATAAACACAGCTGGACAGGTTGTTCCAGAATTGGGAATCCAGTTTTTTCCTGCCACGCATCCTAGGCTGACTGCTGTGTAGTCAGGTACGAGACATCTCGAGGAAGAGATGACATGTAAGGGATTTTGGTCCTGCAGTGACCAAGGAACTCAGTCTTGGAACCTCATCCTTGCATATCGGCAAGCACAACCTGAAATCTCCCTTTATCCTGTTCTTCTCACCTTATCTTGCTCTCGTTGTTGTTGTTGTTGTACTTTGTTTTTTCTCTTTGGGGGAGGATTTTCATTTGTATTGCCTGTCTTAAAGTCCCCAGTAACACCAGTATCTATAAATCTTGACATTCAGCGTATGTTCGGGTAACTTACTAGTATGCTGCTTGACTGTGCTCCTTGTGGATATGATGAATACTTTTATTTTTCTTTGTCTGCAGCAAATATCCACTAGGAGCTCTTAAGACAACTTACTCTTCCTCCCACAACCTTGAAGGCCAAGTTCAACAAGCTTAGCCCTGGCTTGGCCTAGCTCCTATCCTTACTCCGGTTCATGTCCCATCTTGATGTGAAGGGACTCCACAAGGGGAAAAGCCTCCTAACTGCGTGCTTCTTCTAGATCTCCCTCCCAGTGGCTTAGGAAATCGGCACCGT